CTTACAGAGCACTCCTGATCCCCAATCCATGCTGCTGAGAGAACTGGTGGTCAGATGTGGCAGATGTCTCCCTCTGATGGGCTCCTTTCTGGAGTGATGGGGACTCGCTGGAGCAACCAGGCAGTCAGGGAACAGTGGGGCTAAATGATGCATCAGAGCCACTGAAACGCTGCCACTTGTGCCAGCTAGGGTGAAAGGGGCAGCACGTTAGTGCCAGCTCCAGGCTGATGTGCCATTGGGCCGAGACACTTTTTGGCTGCTGGACTGATTTAAGATTCACCAGATCTCTGGCTGGCTCATCTCCACCCCTCTCATCCCTGCTCTGCCCTGCTTGGGGGTTTTCTAATTGCCAAGGGGGGGAGAGAGAGATAGTTTCTCTTTACTTGCCTCTACCAGGCTCCTTGTTGCTCCTCTATTCTACTCTGAACTTAAAAATGGAAAATGGAAAGTGTAGTGCTGGTGGTCAACAAAGGAGGTTCAAAGACTCTCTCAAGGCAAATCTAAAAAAATGTAGTATAAACACCGACAATTGGGAAACACTGGCCTGCGAGCACTCCAATGGAAGAACAGCCTTTACCAAAGGTGTCGTGGGTTTTGAAGCCGCTTGAACTCAGGATGGAAGGGAGAAGTGGAAGAAGAAGAAGAAGAAGAAGAAGAAGAAGAAGAAGAAGAAGAAGAAGAAGAAGAGTTTGGACTTAATATCCCGCCTTTCACTCCCCTTAAGGAGTCTCAGAGTGGCTAACAATTTCCTTTCCCTTTCTCCCCCACAACAAACACTCTGTGAGGTGAGTGAGGCTGAAAGACTTCAGAGAAGTGTGACTAGCCCAAGGTGACCCAACAGCTGCATGTGGAGGAGCGGGGAAGTGAACCCTGTTCACCAGATTACGAGTCCACCACTCTTAATCACCACACCACGCTGGAACGCACACTTGGCAAACCCTCACTATGATCAACTCTCGCTCAGAAACCAATGTCCCCACTGTGGAAGGACGTGTGGATCCAGAATTGGCCTCCACGGTCACTTATGGACTCATTGTTAAAACCATGTTACGGAAGACAATCTTACTCAGCTACAAGTGATTGCCAAAGAAGAAGTTGCTCCTCTGAACCCATGGGCTGTTAGTAGCCCACTACCCACAGTTTCCCCACCAGAAATAGCGAAGTATAGTGTGGGATGAAGCAACTCTTACGCCATGCACTAATGTATTATATTGAGCTAAGCAGACCTGGCCCCAGCCATGCAGCAAGGTGAAGAGTCTTGCTTTAGGTGGCACCATGAATGGAGGAAAAAGAGGTAAGCAAAAACTAGCATCTTAATGGTGCAGTAAGGCTTTGTAAAGCATCAACTCTAGAAGGAGGGCACTCTGTGGGCTATGCAAGCAGCAAAATAGCCTAAAGTGGGGGAAAGGGAAACTGTGGTCATTCAGATGTTCTTGGATTCATGAGCTCCCAGTCAGCATGGCCATGTTAGTTTCTGTTCTTATCACTGAGCAGCTGCTTGGAGTCACAGGACTCTGTTTACATTCCTGGGATTCCATACTATTGGAAGTCTCATGGGAAAGGAGACGGGATGTGACGTTAGTGGTTTCCTGTTTCCTTTGTTCCTTTGTTCAGTTGCTCTCTGCTTTCCTTTGTTCCTTTGTTCCTTTGTTCAGTTGCTCTCTGCTTTCATAGAGAAAGGATGTTTTTTCTGACTGCGTAGCTTAGAAATAAAACTCTTTACAATGTAGCCCAAACCTCTCGTCTCCTTCCTGTGCTGGAAACTCTGCTGAATGGAACGTGCCTTGGAGCCTTATCAAAGGTTCAGGTCGTTAAACATGTTGGGAGGCGATTCCGAAGACTCGGGGGAAGAAAATGAGCTTTATCAGCTTGGCCAAGTGGAGATCCCGACAGGCCATTGGTAAGAATGATGGGAGTCCACAACATCTGGAGGTCATGGGTTCCCCATTTCTGGCCTGAGACTATTTCACACAACTGCTTTTCCACCAAGGAAAACCAGCATTCACTGGGCAATGCTGTTGTGGCAGTTTTGAAAGGGTGCCACCCATTCCTGTGAAAAGCTTCATGACACACTCCACCACTAAACAATATTCTGAATTTTGCAATGCCGTTCCGCTGCCAAGTGATGTGTCCAAGAAATGCATATATCATGGTAAAATGTGCATAAAATCCATATAGCAATAAAAAGCATTCTATCAGGGAAAGCTGCTTTACAAAAAACATACATATTAGGGAACATTGCATACAAAAATGTTGTATTAGGAGAAATTTGCACTAACATGCTGAAAAAATTTAATGAGGACCTTTTTTTAAAGAAAAATCTACACTAATGTGGAGAACTGAATTTAAGAGGGAGAGAAATGAGACACTGAAATTGACAGATATATTCTCTAATATATATGTAGATATTGGGGTTGTCTTAATATATGAAGATTGCCTCCCAACTTGTAGTAGTGTATCTTCAATTTTTTTAATCATTCAAAGTCATTTCATTCCTTCTGACAAGATGCCAGAAGACACATCGATCACAGCAAACATCCCACCGGTTCATTTGCGCCTGATCGGTTCTTTACATAATGTTGCTCAATTTCATCTGCTTCACGTGAACTGCCTTTCTCCTGGAACACCTGTTTCCCCAATTAACTCGTGATATCTGCTCTGTATTGCTGAGCTTAATATGCAGCTCATTAAAAAGGTTCACCTAGTTCGTGATCAGAGAAAAGCTTTGTAAGTAGGGGGAGAAATCATCACATGGAAAAATATGCTGCTGTTAGCTGAAATGAAAGGACATCTCTACCCTGGTGATCACATAAGCCTCATTTATCAACTGGGGGATTATTTTAAGATCTGAAAAATGATACTCAATGCCGCGTGTGGGGGAAAAAAAGCTGATAGCCACCTAAACTTTGTGTGACAGCGGCTCTTATTTAAATTATGGCTTAAATTCTTAGGCAACGTGCTGACTAAGCAGAAGCGGTGGAATGAAATGTCAAGGGATGTTGCCACAGTTGGCTGCCCTGAAGCAGCTTGCAAGAGCCTGCTCTCGACTGCAACCAGGTAAATCAAGGATGATGTGATTGAGGTTAATGAAGTTCCAGTTGCATTACATGCTGAATTAGGTCATAATTGGGACTGCTGGTCTGTGAAAGAGATCTCCCATAACATAACATTGAGTGATGCAATGTTGGTGCAGGGGTACCCAGTGTTTTGTCTCCTGGATGATGTTGGAATTGTTGGGAATATTCCATTCCACCTTAAGGAGCAGACATGGAACTGTTGCGTGTCACATGTCTGTTTACATTCCAGCACAGTATGCTGGGAACTTCCGTTGTGTGTATAGTTGCTGTTTTTCCCCTGTCTCTCTGACAAGACAAAGAGAGAGATGACGTGTTTCTTTGTCCTGATTTATGATTAATAAATTTGTAGTTGTAGTATGCTTCCACAAGCCTCACGCCTATTCTGTGTGCACAGTTTCTATCTGCTGACGTAGTGTGCCCTGGCTTTGAAGCCCGGGTCGCTGCTTTACGTCGGAGCAGAGGCTGCTGGGTCTTCGCAGCGGGATGGCTGGAAGGAGATGGCTCAGCTGGGGGCTAGGGGCTAGTCAGCTGGCCTTGCAACCCTCTGCATGCTGACAGGAATATGACCCCCATCAGCCCCAACCGATGGTGAGGGATTTGGGGAGTTTTTAGTCCAGCAATGTTTAGAGGGCACCCTGTTGGCTACCTCTAATAGATGAGCATCTTTCAGCACTGCAAAGACGACAATAATAATAATAATAATAATAATAATAATAATAATAGATAATTTTATTATTTATACCCTGCCCATCTGTAGGATGGGGTTTCCCAAACTTGGGTCTCCAGCTGTTTTTGGACTACAACTCCGATCACCCCTACCTAGCAGGACCAAGGGTCAGGAATGATGGGAACGGTAGTCCAAAAACAGCTGGAGACCCAAGTTTGGGAAGCCCTGCTGTAGAAAATGAGTGGGCAGCATGACAAAGAACCATAACTCATTTTTTCCATGGGGGGGGGGAAGGAAAGTGAGCAAGGTCCCTTGCAAAAAGGATAGGCCACTTAAGATGTTAGAATATGCAGAACGTGCAGCCATAACACAGAGAATAAGAGAGGAAGAAGAACATATATTTAAAGAAGAGTGGAAAATATTTATTGAATATATGGACAGCAGCTGTACACAGCTGAAAATGCTGGCAGCATTAAGATAAATTCAACAGAGTAGACATTATTTGATTGATGTATAAGTGGGAAATTGATTTGAATGGTTATAGTAAAATATGCAGGAAAGTATATGTAATATGAACCATGGAAGGAGAAGAAGGGAAGTTACTGGATATTTTAAAGCTTGTAAAATGTTTATTTTGAAATGTAGAAAAATGAAAACTCTATTATGGGGAGATATGGATATACATAGAGACGCGAGTGGCGCTGTGGGTTAAACCACAGAGCCTAGGACTTGCCGATCAGAAGGTCGGCGGTTCAAATCCCCGCGACGGGGTGAGCTCCTGTTGCTCGGTCCCTGTTCCTGCCAACCTAGCAGTTCGAAAGCACGTCAAAGTGCAAGTACATAAATAGGTACCGCTCCAGCGGGAAGGTAAACGGCGTTTCCGTGCGCTGCTCTGGTTCACCAGAAGCAGCTTAGTCATGCTGGCCACATGACCCGGAAGCTGTACGCCGGCTCCCTCGGCCAATAAAGCGAGATGAGCACCGCAACCCCAGAGTCGGTCACGACTGGACCTAATGGTCAGGGGTCCCTTTACCTTTACCTTACGGATATATATATATATATATATAGTCATAGCTCGATGACATAGCATCTGATTTACACGGAATAAGGATCTTGAGTCGCTACCAGCACCAGCTGAAAGGAAAGAAGCATTGGAAAGACATAGTCAGAAGACAATACTGGCCTAAGCTGACCAATGTGGCAAGGTAGCTATGGGTATTTTATGCATGAGAAGAGGGGCTACCCTTTGGGGAAAGGCCGTGGCTCAGTGGCAGAGCATCTGCTTCGCATGCAGAAGGTCCCAAGTTCTATCCCCAGTATCTCCAGGTGGGGCTGGGAGGGACTCCTTGTCTGTAACCCTGGAGTGTCACTGCCAGTCCACATAGACAATACTGAGCTGGAGGGATCAGTGGTCTGGCTCTGCAGAAGGCAGTTTCCTGTCTTCCCCTGCTGACCTTTAAAGCCCTAAACGGCCTCAATCCACTATATCTGAAGGAGCGTCTCCACCCCCATCATTCTACCCAGACACTGAGGTCCAGCGCCGAGGGCCTTCTGGCGGTTCCCTCACTGCGAAAAGTCAAGTTACAGGGTACTCGGCAGAGGGCCTTCTCGGTAGTGGCACCCACCCTGTGGAACGCCCTCCCGCCAGATGTCAAAGAGAACAACAACTACCAGTCTTTTAGAAGACATCTGAAGGCAGCCCTGTTTAGGGAAGCTTTTAATGTTTGATGCATTATGGTATTTTAATATTTTGTTGGAAGCCGCCCAGAGTGGCTGGGGAAGCCCAGCCAGATGGGCGGGGTATAAATAATAAATTATTGTTACTACTACTACTACTACTACTACTACTACTTAAGAATTTCTGTCAGTTTACTTTTTATGCCAGAGTAAGGCTGGCGGGAAGTTGCTTATAGCAGCAGTGTGCTGGAGTAGAAACGGATGGGTCAGACTGTTTCTAGACTGAGACCAATTTGCATGCCTCCTTTATATTTGAACTCTGGCCTCCCAGGTGCTAGTTTGACACTCTAACCACTAGTCTACACTGACTCCCCTTTTATAATTGGATGTCCTACATCCACTGGTGTCTCACCTGCCTTTGGGGACCATTTCAGCGAAAAGTTTCCGCCAAATCCACCAGTCACCACTCAAGGCAGCAACACCCAGAACAGGGCCTTTGACAAAGATCTCAAAGGAGCAATGAAGTTCATACGAGTTCAGACAGTGATTCAGATACCCCGATATCAAGCTGTAAAAAACTTTAAAACAAGTGCCTTATCTTATCATATGTGGTGGTCTTGTAGTAAGGTTAAAGCTTACTGGGAAATGATATACAGTGGTGCCTCACAAGACGAAATTAATTCGTTCCGCGAGTTTTTTCGTCTAGCGAATTTTTCGTCTTGCGAAGCACGGTGTTGGAAAAGTTTTGGAAAAGCTTCAAAAATCACCAAAAACCTCAAAAAAGGCTACCACACCGCGTTCTATGAGTTGCTCCTCGAAGTCAAGTCGCAACTGTATTAGCGGTGTTAAGAAAAAGGAAACAAACTTGCAAGACGTTTTCGTCTTGCGAAGCAAGCCCATAGGGAAATTCGTCTTGCGAAGCAGCTCAAAAACCGCAAAACCCTTTCGTCTAGTGAGTTTTCCGTCTTGCAAGGCATTCGTCTTGCGGGGCACCACTGTATAATGAAATGAAAAGAATGGTTAAAATAACCTTTGCAACAAAAAAACTCAGAAGCTTTTCTTTTGGGAATTATAGGGACAGAGCTACCTAAAATGTATAGAAACTTCTACATGTATGTGACTACAGCGGCAAGAATGTTACTTGCCCCAAAATGGAAAGAAGCAAAGGAAGAGTGGATACAAAAACTTATGGAATATGCAGAAATGGCGAAACTTACAGGAAGAATAAGACATCAAGATAACGAACTTTTTATAAAAGAATGGAAATGGTTTACTGAATATTTACAAACAAACTGTAAACAGATAAGAACATCGGCAGGATTATTGTAATAACCTGCAGTTTCATAAGCGTATGTATTTAAAGAAGATGAATAAATGAGCAAATTAAGTTAATCTGGATATGCAGAAGATATTAAAAATAAATTTAAGGAACCGCAGAAAGAGGGGGAAGGAAGTCAAGCTTTGAAATGTCAAAATGATTGTAAAATTAGTGAAATGTATAAACTTGAAAAGAATGAATGAATGAATAGTGCCTTATCTTGCTCCTGAAACAAATAGGAAGATAGCAGAGATTAGTGCAATTTGTTCCCATCAGCCGACTTCAATCAATACTCTGACTGCCATATTCTGAAACAGTGGGATGTGGTTCTGAGCAGTTTTCTGAGTAGTTCCTAAGCAGCTTCCAAGGGCAGCCCTAGGCACACTGTACTGAAGTAGTCAAGTCCAGGTGTCATCAGGTGCCGCAATAACAGTTATGACTGGTTGGAAGAACTTGCATCACAAATAAGCCCAAAATGCATTTTGGGTATCATTTTGTACTTGCAGAGAGGGCGCTTAATTTGTCCCTAGAGATGCAGGGTTAGGAAACTGTGATAATTATTCATTTTTAATTAATTCTAAAATATTGGAATTAGTGAAACAACTTGCGAATGACTGGAGCTTAAATTTAGAGCTGTATCCAGGTAACAGGAATGCACTGCACTGTGTCGCCCGCATATTATAGTTATTTTAAGGGGATGATGTCTGTGTAAGCTAACATAGGTGACACAATGGACTTGTGATTTGGAAGTGCTTGTCAGTGATACTGAATATAACTACACTTTATTAGTCATATATGAAATGCACCAGGGGAAACGCTAAGCTCTCCCTCTACCTCCTTACGGGGAAGAAGAGAAGGAGAAGCAGTCTTTGGTGGTGTACAGGTATGAATTCACCTTTGCAATTAGCATATGAAAGCACTCAGTGCCAATTTTCTAGAAAAAGAGGTATAGAATCATAGAACCGTAAGACCATGAGGGTCATTGTGGCGATCACACAGGGTCCCCGGACGTTTGACGGTCTATTGATCCCTGTGCCACCACTGTGATTGCTTCCCTGCTGCCACCAACCCGTTTCTCTCGGGTACACACGGAGTCCAGACAGTTGTTAACTTTAAACCAAATAAACAAGTTTATTTTATACGCATTAACAAGTTTGTGGTTTCAGATAATTTCTCTTGTCAGTTTCTTAATCTTAGTTTCTTTACTGGCCTATACCTTCCTAATAACTCCTAACTGATTATTCCAGCTGTCTATCTGACTCCTCTTAACAGATTCTCTCACTCTCTCACATCAAACTATCCCAAGCCACAGACTTATCCCCCCTCTCCCTTCTCTAACACCCGACTGGCTCCTTAACAACACTAACTCTCACTCTAACTCCTCCCCTTGGTTTCCCACGGGCCAATCACTTCACACTCATTTAACCCTTTTCTTATGACCCAGCATGATGTCACCTAGGAGGGGCAAACACCACAGTCATCTGGTCCAATGCAAGTATCTTTTGTGCACTGTGGGGCTTAAACCCATAACCCTGAAATGAAGAGCCCCATGATCTGAGCTGACCATGGACACCTCCTTTGTTCTCTTAGAATGGCAATGGTGCCCACCTGAGAGGTGCCAGAACTGAGTTCTGGTGAATTCTGGCTGGGGGGAAAGCCCTGGAAGCCCTAGAATTCTAGAACTAAGTGATATGTTAACAATGCTATAGAGTGAGGTCCCAGCCAGAGGAAGTCCCAGTGCATAAGAATGTAAGACCAGCCTGCTGGTTCAGGCCAATGGCCCATCTAGTCTAGCATCCTCTCCTAACAATGGCAAACCAAATGCCTGTGGGAAAACACCTAGCAGGATCCAAGCACAAGAGTCCTCTCCCCTTCTGTGGTTTCCAGCAAAGCCACTTCTGAGCTAGAGAGGAGGTGGGGTTGTGGGCTTCCCCCGCGAGACTGGGGGAATCCTCGGTCGCATCATCTCCCTTGCCAGCAAATCGGCTGGCCCGGGAGGTGTGGCCTGCGCTATTTAGGGCTGGCACGGCCAAGGATTTCCCTCTTTCTTCGCTCCAGCTGATCTGGTTTCCCATCCCTTCCACCCTTTAGGTTTTGCTCTCTGACATTGCTATGGACTTCGGTTGGTCGCCATCAAGGGGCCTGGTAGGATTTTTTTCCACTTGGCAAATTGGCACCAGCCATTTGGTTTTTCGCCTACCTCGTAGCAAATTGTCACAACTTCTTCGGCATTGGCGGTTAGGCATTGGTAGGGGTATTGTTATGCAGATGAGGGGGGGAGGAAGCGCCATCACCTTCCCCCATAACGAAGGGTAGTCCGGTAAAGGATTCTGGGGGTCGTTGCCCTGTCCGAAGCCTATGGAGGTGTGGGCCTAAGGCACGCCCCCGAGCGGTGACCCCGGGGGAGCTCCTAGTTGATGTGCATCAGCAGGACTCCCCCTACTGGCGGTTAACCCTTGCCGGTCTTCTAGCAATCAGGCTGAAGCCGGTTAGTCGATAGGACCAATGCCTAAGCCAATCAGTTCTTGCAATCAATAAAGTTGTGGCCTATTTTCGCCCATTAACCTAAAATACTGTGTCTGGTGTCTTTATTTCCGAAGGGGAGGCGGGAACTCGCCACGCAACTGGTATTCAGAAGCGTTTACTGCCTCTGACCAAGGAAACAGATCATAGCCATTGTGGTTAATAGCCCATGCTTCAATCCAGGGCTTTATGGGAAGGAAATATACTAATAGGATGTATCATTTTAGGGGGATGAAACTTAATTTTGGGAAATTTCTTCACTGATGGGTCCTGGTTTAAGGTCCTGGTTTGGACCTTTAAAGCCCTATGCGGCCTAGGACCCTCGTACCTACGGGACCGCCTCTCCTGGTATGCCCTGAGAAGGCCCTTAAGGCCCATAAATAACAATACTTTGGAGGTCCCGAGCCTCAGGGAGGTTAGATTGGTCTCAACTAGGGCCAGGGCCTTTTCAACACTGGCCCCAAATTGGTGGAATGCTCTGTCACAAGAGACCAGGGCCCTGCGGGATTTGACATCTTTCTGCAGGGCCTGCAAGATGGAGCTGTTCAGCCTGGCCTTTGGCTTGGACTCACTCTGACCCTTTATATGGGATTTGGTATATAAATTTTCCCTTGGCTTTTTTGCCTGCCCGTGTAGGACCAGCATGGATAGCTGGCTCGGTGAATATCTGATGTTTCCTCCCTTTATGGTCTTTATTTATGGGCTACTACTAAAATGAGGCTGCATTTTAAGCCGTATTTTAATTAACTTTTTTCCCTTTTTTCCTATTATGTTTTATTGTAATTTACATTTGGTGTTAGCTGCCCT